CTTATTTTGATGGTGTTTATTCAATCATTATTTATCAGTCCAAGGAAGAAACCTAGTATAGATATACCAAAAATTATTATTAGTTAGGGTAGTTGCTGTCTTCTATAGATATCATCTAACTTTTGGGACTCAAAATGTTTGCAATTAGAACCTTCTTTAGCTATCATCTAACTTTACCTCTCCACTTAAGAAGACATTAATACAATGATCCATCTAACAATAATTTATATTTCCTATCAGATCATGTATATTAGTACTGTAAAAAAAAACAATAAATATTAACTATTAAATAATTTTAAATAAATATATTATTTTAATAAGAAAATATAAAGAGAATATATTAACATGAGAGAAAATAAATAAATATTTTTTAAAATTTTTACTTTTAAGTCAACTAAATTACTTTATAATTTTTTTTTATTTTAAAACTATATATTTTATTGGAAAAAATAAACTTCAAATGGTTTATTAAATAAATTATACCCGAGACACGGTTTAGGCCTTTGGGTGCTACGGCACGTGGCGGTGGGCCTAGAGGGAGACACTAATGTCCGCATAAAATTTATTTAGACAATTTGTTTTTTCTTAAAAACTATTAAAACTACGAATTAAATGTATATAAATTAAAAAAATAATATATGAAATTGTTTTACAAAATAATTAATTGATAAATGAAATTTAAATGATAAAATGCTCATTACATTTTTCTACGAAGAAATTGTCCAAATATATGGATAGACTTTATAAATTATAAGATAAGTTAATTTGTTTCGTGGATGATATCATAGAGCTGCATATGTTTCTAACTCTCACCATTTTGATCGATTAATTTAATTTCAATGCACATGAGAACATGAATATAATGCATGATATATTCATAGATAAAGATTTGTAGATATATATACTTTAAAAAAATATGGTGGGTCATGGCTTACCTGCAACTTGATCAACTCTTTGTTCTCTATACATGTGTTCATGTGTATGGTAGAAGGTGACAACTGTGCTAGTGGCTATACTAACTACAATGACTCTTCTAATTTATACAACCCAAACGAAATAAGGATATTCAATACTTTTTGGACTTTTGAAGTTATTTATATATCTTTAGAATAGAAACTCGAAAGAATATATCGATACTACAACACCACACACGTGCTTAGGGTTTGGGGACCTTGTATACGGGAATCGTGTTGATTAGTCATGCATCTAAAAACACGATTCACGAACAAGATGCTCAAGTAAATATCTAGTACGAGTTTACCTAAAAAAATCCACGGTTCTGATATAACTTTTTATCATCGTGTTAACCAAGGTTTACAATTCGTACATATCATCCAACCACACCAACTAAAACACAATTCGAAATCAACTAATAATGAATACTTTTTAGTTTAATATTTTTATTTATATATGCAATTTTTGTTCATTCAATATATTACAACTGCAGAAAGTTATGGTTGTCCATTGATGTGATCAGCAACGCCAAATATAATTTAAGATTCTCAAATGAAAGGGAAAGGAGAAAAGGATTGCATCATGTCCCTTTCCCTTGAAGAATAAGCTCTGCGCAAGATTTTTCCTTCTGTCCTACATCTGAAAGTTCTACTACAAAAGAATTGGAAGGTTTAAGTTGGTGGCTTGATTGGGATTTCATTGTGTAATTCAGTATTTTAAGAAATTTGATAATGGTTTAATCGTCTTAGGAATGTAAGGGTATTATTTTTTTTTTATTTTTTTTGTCATGTTCTAGCTTTGGATTGCTCCTAAATCAGATACAAGATTTTTTTTTTATATTAATATAAATGCTATTTGTATTCACCAATTGTGCTAACTGCTAACAACAACCACCTTGAATCATGCGTTTTGGTGAGTAGTGGTAGTGGAATGATTAGTAGTCTTTGTTTTGAGGACCCAAGCAATGACTTTAGATGATTTCACAAATTCTTCTACGTCTCCATATTTATTTGCAAAGATAACAATATTTTCAATTTTATTGAATGAGTGGTCCAAAAGTGTATTATGAAATATTTTAGATTAAAAATTTCTAAAAATCTTCATATGAATAATGTGAAAAAAAATATTTTTTTAAAAGTTTTGAATTATGAGATCTGAAATATAATTTTATTATTATTTTAATTAATATGAAAAGTTAAACTCAAAAGTAATTTTTTATATGAATGATTTAATTTCTGTATTCACACTTCTAGGAATTTTCCAAAATAAGTTTTTTAGATATATTTCAAAATAATATTCTTGAATGCTTGTTAGACTTTATAGAAACCTTGTGACTACAACTTTTTTTTTTTAAATAATAAGGGGTTCAGGAAAAAAAAGTCATAGGATTTTAGTGCTGGCCCAAATGAAACAGAACAGAATGCCCAATAGATTTACCCTTTGCCAAAATCTAAGCCCAAGAAAAAGAGCATCTTACTGTATATCTTCACATTAATTTTCCCAATTCTTTATTAAAAAGTATTAAATGGAAAAAAGATGTTTAACGTCTTAAAAAGAACAAATACTTAAATTTTTTTAATATATTAAATTATAATATTAGTAAAATAATTTCAGGATTTAAAATTATAGTTATTTATTATATACTGCTGAGTAGATATTTAAAAAAACATGAAAACATATATAGTACTGCTGTAATAAGATATTAAAAGAAAACAATGGAAATTAAATTATAAAGATAGCATATAAATAGATGTGTTAAGCACGGACCAAACAAAACAAATGTAAAAAATAATTTGCCCTATATCATAAATAAACTTTAATTTTAAATTCAGTCTTTACTTTATATTATGTAAACCAAAATTTTTTGCATGTTTTTTAAAAATAAAATATTTTTAAATGGAAAAAATAAAAAATAAATTTTATATATTTAAAAAAATTCAATTATATTAATAAAATTAGTTTTAATCTTATATATAATGATTAGGTTTTTAATTGAAATAAATGAACTTGATTAATTGTGGGTTTGATGTGAACAATTGCGACTGCGAGAACTTGGACGTTGGCAAGGGGATCGATGACAACCAACATCTATATAGGGGATCGCAATTAAACCCGTACATGTGGGGATGAATCAGTCCATGTTTCGAGTTTGACTGGGAAAATCCGAGTTGATCGAGAGATGTGGGTGGGTTCGAGTTTCCCAGCTTTAAAAAGTCGGGGCGGGGAGCGGGATGGGTAATGCAATCCCTACCCCGACCCCGTCCCCGCCTCGACTTTATATTTAAATTTAAATTTTAAAATATTAATATTTTAAAAGTATTTCATTTTCTTTTTCTATTACATATAAGGTTATTTTTTTATATTTCACTAATTTTTTTTTCTTCTACCCACTTTTTAATTTTTTTGTCTTTTTAAATCTTTTATATCAATTAATTTATTTCATTATTCTTTCTCTTATCTTTCAGTTTTTCACATTTTCTTAACCTTTCCCATCAATTTGTTTTTTTTTCAACCAATTTGATGAACACAAAGTTAATTTTTTTTTATTCTTTATCTTTTTCAAAATATTTTACATAAATCTTAGTAGTACCTAATATTATTTTATTTATAATTTATATTTATTAAGTTTTATTATGTCATATTTTTTATCTTATTATTCTTATTTATCATATATCAAATTTTATCTTAATAAAATAATTGTAGTTTAAAGGATTAAAGAAATTGATAATTTAAATTTTTATTATTTCAAACTAATTGAATAAAAATTAACTTATTAAATATTTCCTTATAAATTATATATTTCATATTTTTAAATGACAACTTAAAAATGAATTAACTTATATATATATATATATAAAATAAAATGTTTAAATACAATATTATAATAATAATTTTATAAATATTTGAATACAGTATTATAATAATAATAATATTATAAATAAAAAATGATTAAATATTTCTTTTACATACATATTTTAATATAAATATAATAAATTAAAAAATATATTTAATTAATAATAATTATAAATTATAAATATTTATTTATATATAAAAAATAAAAAATAAAATTAATTTATTATAAATATAATTATCTTTTTTAAAAATAATATAAATCAGAGACAAGTAACCAAAATCTAACGAAAACAGTAACTTAATTTCTAACCACCATCAAAATTCAAAAGCAGATACGGAAAAGGTTAAAAAATTTGAGACGGGAGGTAAAACCCGTCCTGACCATTGCCATGCCTACTTCTACGCATCCATGTCTCCTTTCCAACACCTTCGGAATTGATGTCGTAGTTTTCAATCGACAAACGCCTAAACAAAATAAATGATAAACTAGAACTCTACTAATTTGGCACATAACATATATAAAAGTAGAAAAACAAATTTAAATTATATATATATATATATATATATATATATAGATAAATATATAGATATAGATATGCATAAACGTTTTAATACCTATATTTCGACTTCTATTTTATAATCGAATCCGAAAGAATGACAATTTATCGTAACAACCGTTAATTTACTGCTTTAATAATAGTAAAAAAAAGTTACACATTAAATAAAAATATTTGTAACATAATATTTAGAGTATTTTTAATGAGATTTTTTTTTATTAAAATGATTAAATAAAATACTAATTGTTGGAAGTAATTTTACAGGGTATCTTATGTAATAAGTTGTTTAAATTTTGTAGTATTTACTTCGAGAAATAACTTATAAAAATAAGAAAAATTAAAACAGAAAAAAAAAGAGAATTTAAAAAAAAAATCAATAATTAGTTGCTTAAAAATGATATATGTGATTATAAATCGCTGTTTTAATTTTGTAAGATAAGAAACAATTAACTGGAAATGCCCTTAGAGTGAGCAAAATAGTTAGAATTGATGAACCACAAACTTAATTACATATTAAATTTCGATCAACATTGGAGCGTTGGGTGAATAGAATGAGTGAATAATTGAAATAGATGAGAATTGAAGTATAACTAAGAATACAAGTTTAAATAATTTAAAATAAAGGTGATGTTGTGTTTACAAGGGATGAGTTAAAGGTTGGGAGTTGGAAAGAGCGTGCGAAGTTGAGTAGCAGGCTTTACAAAGGTCGTTGTACCTTTGAATATCAAGGTTGTACATCTTCATCAGCCGTTGTTGTTTCGTCTTCAACCTGCTTTCGAAGTAACCTTGGAAACTTGGTTCTGTTGAAGTCCTCAGGAAGAACACGTATGCGAAAGAGAAGTACAGAGAGGTCAGAAAAAAACATACGGGCTCCATCACATCCCAGGTCAAGTCCCAAAAGGTAAGTTTCATAAGCCCAAGCGTTTGAACAGTAAAAAAGCCCAGTCCACAGTAAAGCTCCCATCGGACCTGGGCCTTCGCCTTTTCGTCAATCATGACCTTTAACCTTTCCATCTTCTCCAACTCCTCCCTCCTCGGGTCCCTCGGACTGGCTGTTGATTCTGATATTAACCTCTCTATTGTTTTTGTTAACTGCAAATAGAAGAAAGAAAAAAAACACATTTTATTCATTCAGTAATAGAATTTGTATAAGGATTTTACAAATCTCTCACTATTAATCAACATTTTATTTTATTTTTCTTCTAAAGAGTTTAATTTTGAGTGCTGTAGTTTTTGTGAGAAGTTAAATCTTTTGAAATGTGGAATTATTTTAAATAAAAAGCAAAGAATCTAACAAAGATCATTACTTTTTCAAATTTGAAATTATTTTACAAAAGAGGTAAAGAAATGTCAATTTATGGGCGAATATATTTTGAAATATATTAGTACAGATTTAAAATGAGAGATTTATAGAGTTTAAGAGTAAATTGGTCCCACATGAAATAAATAAAAAATTTAAATAAAGATATTCATAAAATTAATATTTTGAATTTAAAAAAAAAAGTGATTGAGGAAGATTCACGCTAGTTGTGTATATTCCCTTTGATTGAATTGTAGTGTATTCTCGAGTAAGGCAATTGAATTTAAATTTGAATATTCGACATAAAATATATAAGCTGACGAAATCATGTTCAATTAGTTATTTTTTGACCTTAAACTATGAATAAATTAAAAAAAAATTATTATTTTTCATAAAGAGGCCTACCTGTTCTGGACGTAGAAGAACGACGTCGCCAAGAACGATGACGTTTCCGGAGTGATCCAAGATCTTGGCGAACTCCGCCGCTTGACATTGATTGTGATCGCAGAACTGAAGGCAGAGCCGGAAGTAGTGAGCGTAAGAAATTGAAGTATGAGGAATGTCTCTCAGCTTCGCTTTCACCTTCTCCATCTGCGATGCCCTCAGAATCTTCCTCGCGTCATTCACGGAAATTCCCATGCCATGCGGAGCCGTCGGATAATTTGAATCGAGATCGACGGTGTTTATGACTTTGAGTTTGTCCCCCACGGGAAGTGGGAGAATGTCGGAGTGGCGACACTCGCTTCTGGCCTCGAGAAAGCGGCGGAAGTAGCCATTGTGGGGGGATTCCGGCGAGGTTAGATAGTAGTGGAGGGAGGTGGGTTCGGGAAAAGTTGGGAGAGTGCGGAAGGACATTTTTACACCGTCGAAAAGGCGTTTTGGGAAAACTTTCCGAAATGCCATTGATGAGAGTATGTTTGCTTCAGCGGTTGAGTCCTATTTAAAGGAATTCAATACTCATACTTGGCCCCATTCAAGAATATTCTTGACAAATATTCTCTATAATATTATCTTTTTACACACTATTTTCTATTTTAAACCAAGCTTTTTTTTAGTTTCCTTATGATTTTATATTTAATTTTAAAAAAATAGTTATAAAAATGTATTTAAACATTTATTATTTTAAATATGTAGAACTATGCAATAGTGGTTAAATATAAAACAAACTTCTGAAATCCACGTTTTTTATTTAAAAAAAAATCATCTAATGAAATTTGTGTTAAAAAAATTAAAAATACGATACTAATGTTTTTATTATTGTTTTTCTTAATTTAATCCTTATTTTTGCTTGCTGGCGTAACATAATATAAAGGTGAAATTTAAATTAAAGGTACAAAATATTTCAGTCTCTTAGAATTCTGAAGAATTTATTTATTTGTTTTGATAATCGCTTAGACTTATTGAAAACGTTTACGGGCATGACAGGTTTTTCCAAAATTGATCAAATTTAAAGAATAATTATAATTTGTTATTTTGGAAAAATTTTATGCACTTTCTTCAGATGAAATTAGGTGGAGATAAACAAAAAAAGTATTCAAATATAATCTATAATTATCTTAATTCAAAAATACATTTTTAGATTTTAAAGATAATCAACCTACTTAATTATATGTGAATAAGATTAATTTTTGAAATTTACAATTTTGAATCAATATTAAATCGGATTGAATATAGATTTTGATTGAATTTTTAGAAAATTCAAGTCCACCCCTAAAGTTAGGATTGAAAAAGTTACGGGAAAAAAAATCCAAAGCAAAGTTAAATGTTTATATAGAATATTTATTAAAAAAAATACACCATTAGAAATTTTAATCTAAATAAATTAATAATTATTTTTTTAAATTATCTGGACCAGGTTTATGTTACAATTGATAATTAATAGTTGACCAAATAATTACTTTTTTTTTATATTATAATAATTAATTACTTAATCTATCAAGATTAAGAAAAGTACTAGTTAATTTAATTGACAGTAATAAAATTTGTTCTGAATTTAAATTTTTTCTCTAAATTATTTTTATCATTAATATTCATTTCGCTTTTAAATATTTTGTCAATACAACCCGAGTCATGATAATTACATATATATTTCAATATTTCAGTATAAAAATAATTAATACAAGGAACGGATACAATGAATTTGGTAAATTATATTTCTAATACCAACCAAATTCAATGAATTTCAATCAATTACAAAGAAAACATTAAAAAGAGAGTGATAGAAAAATGAATACTAAACTATCACATCCCTTACCTCTCATACTTTGTATTTGTATAAAATTAATATACTGAATTAACCTTATTTCTGGTTCACAGTAATAAAACGGATTCGTCGTTCTCAGAGTGAAAGGTACAGTACACTTCAAATGATAAAACTTTTTCATTAAATGTGCACTTTTTATAACTTTGTGGCATTTTCTACTTAATTGTATGTCTACTCTTTTCTTAATTTTGATATGATCAATAATATCAAGTAGTTTAAGAATTCAGGGTAATACTAACTTTTATGTATATTATCTATATTAATTCAATGAGATGTGTTTTAAAAATGAAAGATGACGAAATCAATTTTGAAATCTAAAATAATAATACCTTGAAGGTGGTAATTGATTACTTAGTAAATTAATTCATTTATTATATAAGTTGATTATTAATTTGCAACCATTTTATTTAAATTTTGGAATCTTGATTCCTTCAAAGCTTCAAGTACTCCATTAGTCTATCACTCTACCGTATTTGTCCTTTGGGCAATTCTTTATGACACAACAGAGAAATGTTAAACAAGAAAAAGAAAATCCGAATCTCTAAAACAAACTTAAAAAAAATAATAATTAATTGAATATAGACACTGGTTTTAATTAATCTTCGATTTAAAAATAATAAATGAACCATGGCGTGACAACTAATATTCACTATTAAATTAATTTCAAGGTAACGTATCAATTATAAAATTTTAATAATTTTACATTTTAACATGCATTATAAATGTGCATAATATTTTTCAAAGCATCGAAAGTAAATAAATTAGATTGTGGCTTTAAATATTGGTTGTGATATAGTGTAAGTGTTGTTTTAGTAGTTGGAGTTTACAAAGAAACACATAAATATTTAGAATTTGATATTAGTGACTATTGAAAATTTGAGATTAACTAAGATTAACTAAATTCAACAAATAGTATTTAAAAAAATGACAAAATATCACAATAAATAACTTTTAGTTAAAAGTTCATCGATTATAGATGATATAATAAATTTCATTGATTTAAATATTTCTGTATGACACTATTTTAGTTTTTAGTCTCTCATATTTCTAAACACTCTTGATTATTTTTTTAAATTAATCTTTGTCATCAACTTTCATTATTAATGGTAACTGGCAACGATTTAACCTATAAAGGGTCTATTATGTCACCTCATATTTAATAACTAAATATTTACGATCAAATATGAATACAATTACTACATGTAACAATTCTAAAACTAAAATATAGAAATACGAAAAAAAAAATAGGGAAGGATTTTGATTGAATTAGAATAAGAATCCATTTGAAGGGTGAGTTTCAATCTATGACATGAATAATTATGATGACCATATATTTATTCTCTTATAATTTTATTATTATTATATATATATATATATATATATATATATATATATATATATATATATATATAACTTTTATAGACGTTACTTATACGAAGATTGATTTAAAGATTTAGATATAAGTCTCTCAATTAACGATTTTGAATGTGTCATGTTAATCGAGTTAAATTAAGTACTTATCTAACTTCATTCCAACAATAAGGTTTTTCTTAAGGCCTTTAAAATTGTTGTGTGTCTATTAAGTTTTTGTATTTTTATTAAATGAAATATGGTAGCGAGATTGGTTGGATATCTTTAAATGGTGCTTAGTATGGTGGTATTTTTACCATTTTCACTCAATTATTTAAGAATTTGAAGTCTCTGATTTTTGGAGTAAGATGTTTTTTTATTGTTTTTCTGACTCATCAAAGAGCATACTACGTTACCCAATGATATTTTTCACTTTCCATTGTTTTGGCAGCGAGCTCCACGCAGAACATTTATTGTCTTCTTCCAAGAAAGAAGACATTGAATTAATAAAATGACTTCCTTATCCTATAAACTAGCCTTAATGAATATTTTTTTGGTCGAGGATAAACTTTCTATGTTTGCAGGTAGCTTTTGCTAGTTTTCTTTCTATGGACTTGTCTTTCTACTTGCTTTTTTTAAAGTGTATTTTTTGTTGCAAAGGTAATGAGACCCAAATTCGATTTTAAAAAGATGAGGGAAGAACTTGGTCGTGCACTAATTAGTCTTAGGCTCCAACTTGGGGTGTCCAAACATTAATGAGTAGTACGATCATCTTCCCTTACTCCCTCCAAACATGACTACGTGGACTTAGAGAACATTCCTAATGAACAATCGCCCATAATACACCTTTTGCCAGTTTCTGAGTTTTCTCCTAGTACTTCAGCAATTATTATTATAGGTCTGGAGGCCCCTGTTCGGCTATTGGATCATGTTTATATTCCTAACTGGTGAAATTTCAAAGCTTAGATTTAGATCTCTGAAGCTCTCTATCAATTTTAATTCCTTAATCATTAGTGCAGATATTCCAATCGCCTTTCTGTTGAGAGCATCTGCCACTATATTGGCCTTTCCTGGATGATACATTAACTGAAAGTCATAGTCTTTGATGAATTTCATTCATCTTCTCTTCCTCATGTTTAACTCTTTCTGATCAAACAAATATTTCAAGCTCTTATGGTCACTGAATACCTCAAATCTAGTTCCATACAGGTAGTGCCTCCAGATTTTTAGAGCAAACACCACAGTTGTTAGCTCCAAGTCATGTGTGGGATAATTCTTCTCATGATTCTTCAGTTGTCTGGAAGCATAAGCCACTAACTAAATATCTTGCATCAGAACACATCCTAACCCTTGATTAGATGCATCACAGAAACCCTAAAATGGTTTGCTTGAATCAGGAATAGTTAGTATGGGTGAGCTGGTCAACCTTTGTTTGAGTTCTAGAAAACTCTTCTCACACTGATCTGTCCAAACAAAGGGATGATCCTTCCTTGTTAACCGGGTTAGAGGAGCTACCACTCTGAAAAAACCTTCAATGAACCTCCTGTAATAGCCGACCAATCCCACAAAATTTCTAACCTCGGACACTGACTTGGGAACGTTAAGTCCTTATGACATACATCTCTCACTGCCAATCAACTTCCTATCCTCAATGTACCATCGCAGTTTGATATTGACATCATGAATCATGTGGGCATTGAGGGTAACTTAGAATCTGCTAAGGTGATGATGCTTCAGTGTTTGTCTATAGTCCATCATCGACCTTGACTTATGGTGATAAAGTAAAATTATTGGAGAAAAATTTGGTTGAGTCTCAAAAAAGAGTGACTATGTTAAACTCTCCATTGAAGTCTTATGAGGATGTTATTTCTATTAAATGAAACATTTACTTCTCATGCTTTGAAGATTGAGAACGACTTGCAATCATTTGATGCAAGAAGCTCAAAGGTAATATTACTATCTTATAAAAGGAGTTATCTCAATGAAAGACTTAACTGATTGACTTGAAGAATAATATGTTAGGTAGTTATAAGGATGGTTTTGAGAAAGTTGTGCGTCAAGTTGTCCTATTCACCCCGAGCTCGATGTTGCTCGTTTTGATATTGAAAAGGATGTTCGTGATGGAGCGTTAGTAGATAATAGTTAGTAAGAACGACATTAGTATTTTTCTTTTTTTGTATTCTTGGACTGATGTGCAGTGACAGATCTTGATCATTGATTCTTGGGGGTCAAATAAAATCTTATTAAAAAATAATAAATAAATATAAAAAGGTGAAAAACGATGAAAGGATGAGAGGATAAAATTGTAAATGTATAAGTAAATATATAAAATGATCATTAAGTTTGGGGGACAAAATCATAAATTATATGAGAGTTCCAAAACTGAGGAGAGATTGAGAAGATAAAATTGTAAATATACAAGTAAATATATTAAAGTTTGGGGGGGTCAAAATCATAAATTACATGAGAGTTATAAAACTTTGGGAGGGTCACGGCCCTCCTCAGTTCCCAAGAAAATTCACCACTACTGGTGTGTAACTTTAATTGAACATTTTTAGTGCTTGATTCAGCAACGCGTTCCCTTTGACTATGCAAGTTTTGTAAGTTTTATACTTATTTTTTCAAGTACGATATGCATATTATCAAATTGTTTATACTCGTGTTTTTTTAGCTCATGTTATATTCATAACCTCGAGTGATGTATGATTCATTTGTACTCGTATGTCCGATTAAGACACAATTCATTTATACTCGTAACCCCAAGTAATGCATGATTCATTTATACTCGTGTCTTCGAGTAAGACATAGTACATGATACGTGATACATTTATACTCGTATCCCCGAGTAAGGTGTGAAACATTCATGTTACGTGATGCGTTTATACTCGTATACTTAAGTAAGGTTGTGACTAACTGTAATACGACTTTAGATGTGTTGCATTCCAAGTTCGCAAAACAAGTCTTCCGTTTAGCTCTTGTAATTTATACGCGTTATTATGTAGTGAGTCGGTGACGTGAAATGACTCATCCCAATTAGGAGCTAACTTTCCTTTTCCATGTGCTTTCCAGGTTTCTCCCACCTTTCTCCATACCAAGTCTCCTTTTTTAAAGTCTCTTCTTCTGACCCTAAAGTTGTGATGCCGAACTATTCTTTGTTTTATGACTTCCTCTCGAACATGAGTTGAAGCCCTTAACTTGCCAATCAAATCCAGCTCAATACATAAGTTGCCTTTGTTTTTTTTGTCGTTAAATTGTTGTCATCGCCATGATTTTTCTCTTAATTCCACATGGATCATGGTGTCGATTCCATACTTAGCTTAAATGGGGTTTCCCTCGTAAAGGACTGAGATGTACAGTGATGTCCCTATAATATTTCTGGTATTTCCTCAGCCCATAGTCCTTTGGTATTATCCAACTTTTTCTTTAATTCTCTAAGAATGACCTTATTAGCAGTCTCGACCTGTCCGTTAGATTAAGGGTGTTCGACGGATGATACTATGTGCTATATGTCGAGTTGGTTGAAGAATTGCTCTAAGTTTTTATCTACAAATTGTCTTCCATTATGAGTAATAAGTGCTTGTGGAAGACCATGTCGATAAATGATTTTTTTTCAGACGAATTATTGTACTTGTTAGGCTATTATGGTGGCCAAAGGTTTTGCTTTGATCCATTTAGTGAAGTAGTTTATGGCTACTATGAGAAATTTCATCTGTGCTCGAGCAATCGAGAAAGATATGATTATGTCCATTTCCTAAATGGAAAAGGGTCATGGGTGACTATGTTATGTAATTCTTCTAGAGATAAAAGAATATTTGAGCAAATTGTTGGCATTATTTGCACTTCTTTACAAAGTTATTGACGTCTTGTCTCATTGTGGGCTAGTAATACTCAACTTAGACTATTCATGTTACCATATTTTTTGTACCCAAGTGAATGCCACAAATTTCTTTATAAAGTTTGACTATGACATAATGAGTTTGTTCGTTGTCTAAGCATTTTAGAAGAGGAGTGGATATACCCATTTTATAAAGGTTTTCGTCGTATATGATATATAAAGAGCATATTTGAGCGAATTGTTAGCATTATTTGCACTCTTTTACAAAGTTATTGACGTCTTTTCTCATTGTGGGCCAGTGATACTCAACTTAGACTATTCGTGTTGCCATATTTTTTGCACCCAAGTGAAAGCCACAAATTCCTTCATAAAGCTTGACTATGACATAGTGAGCTTGTTCGTCGTCTAAGCATTTTAGAATAAGAGTGAATATACCTCTTTTATAAAGGTCTTCGTCGTATATGGTATATAAAGAGACTATTCTTCTTATGTTTTTCGTCTCTTCCGAGTTATCTAGTAGTATATCGTGGGCTATATATTTTTTTTATGGGAGTCATCCACATGGGTTGTTCGGTGTGGACCTAAAAGAGTTCATCCTTATCCCGACTCAGGCTCGATAATGTTTCTAGAAGGAGAGTTTATTGTTGTCCCAATTTATTGTTATTAGTCAGTTTTGATAAGACGTCAACTCTACCGTTCTGTCTGCATGATACATGTTGTATCACGAATTTAGCAAATGTCCTTATGATGCTTTTAGTGATATAATGGTATTTCTGTATGATGAGTTCTTTAACTTGATACTTATCGTTTATTTAGCCGATCATGAGTTGAGAATCACTTCAAGACGGGAGTTATTTGACTCCCATCTTATTTGTTAAAGATAACCCAACTAGTAATGCTTCGTACTTGGCCTGGTTTTTTGAAGCCTCATCAAATCTTACCGCTTATTCGATGACTACATCATTAGGTCCTTCCAAGATTATTCCCGCTCCACTCCCCTTTTTGTTGGAAGAGCCATCAATATTGATAGTCAAAATCTCCTGTTGCTCTCCCGTTGATGGTAATTTGACCAAGAGGTCAGCAAGAAACTGAACTTTCATCGATTCCCTACTTTTGTATGTGAGTCCAAAGTTGGACAATTCAACATACCATTAGGTCATACAACCCGCAAGTTCAGGTCATTGTAATATTTGCTTGATTGGATAATTTGTTTTTACTACAATGAGAAATCTCGAAGAGTAGGGTCGTAGTTAGGGAACAAAGTGGACGAGAGCTAATACTAATTTTTTAATAATTTGGTACTTCTTTTCTGATGAATGAAGTGTTTTGCTAGTAAAGTAAACAAGATGTTGAGTTTTGTTTACTTATACTACAAGGAGAGAGCTTATGGCCGATTTAATTACAGTCAAGTATAACAATAAAGTGGTTCTTATGGGCTAACGATAATAGATAAGGAGACTAAATTTTTCTTAATACGATGAAACATGATTTTGCATTTCCATGTTAATTCAAACTTTTCTATATAACAAAGTAGCTTACAAAATGGTTTAATATTTAACCTTTTTTGGACTATAGGAGAGTTTCGCATCTATCCAAGTTTACTTCAACGCCCCTTTCATAATCATAAACCTAGGAACTTGTCACATCTGACACCATAGACATATTTTGCATAATTGAATCTCATATTTGTTCACCTTATATCTTGATAAACATATATATGATACTATTTATGTAAATATTTCATATGATAGATGCATCCTATTATAAGTAAAAATTGATTTTTCATTTGAAAATATGAACATATGGGACCGTTGGTTGAATAGAATGAATGAATAATTAAAATAGAAGAGTTGAAGTGTAACTAAAAATACAGGTTTAAATAATTTAAAATAAAAATGATGTTGTGTTTACCAAGAATGAGTTAAAGGTTGGGAGTTGGAAGGAACGTGAGAACTTGAGAAGCAAGTTTTACAAAGGTCGTTGTACCTTTGAATGTCAAAGTTGTACATCTTCATCAGACGTTGTTGTTTCGTCTTGAACCTACTTTCGAAATAACCTTGGAAACTTGGTTCTGTTGAAGTCCTAAGGAAGAACACGTACGCGGAAGAGAAGTACAGAGACGTCAGAAAAAAACATACGGGCTCCATCACATCCCAGGTCAGGTCCCAAAAGGTAAGCTTCATAAGTCCAAGCGTTTGAACAACAAAAAAGCCCAGCCCACAGTAAAGCTCTGATCGGACCTGGGCCTTCGCCTTTTCGTCAATCATGGCCTTTAACCTTTCCATCTTCTCCAGCTCCTCCCTTCTCGGATCCGGACTGACTGTTGATTCCCATATTAACCTCTCCATTCTTTTTGCTATCTGTAAGTGGAAGCAAAAAACCACATTTAATTCTTTCATTAATAAAATTTGTAGAAGGATTTTGCAAATTGCTCACTACTAATCAACATTTTTTTCCTCTTTTAAAGATTTTAAAGTTCAGTGGTACAATGTTTGAGACGTAAATTCTTTTAAAATATAAAAGATAAAGACCATATTTTAAAAAGTTGGGACTAATTGAGTAAAGAAATATCAATTTAAGGGTGATGAAAGTGTAACTATTATCTTCTAGTTTTTTTTTTAACAAAATTAAAATATTTTTATGGAAAAATATTCTGATTTTTTGTAAATTTTTAAATATATAAAAAAAATATTTTAACCGTTGACCTGGTATAAAGTTAAGTATATATATATATATATATATATATATATATATATATATATATATATGAGTAAGGCAAGTGAATTTAAATTTGAATATTCGACATAAAATATATAAGGCGACGAAATCATGTTCAATTAATTATTTTTTTACCTTAAACTATGAATAAATTAAACAAAATTATTGATTATTTTTCATAAAGAGGCCTACCTGTTCTGGACGTAGAAGAACGACGTCGCCAAGAACGACGACGTTTCCGGAGTGATCCAAGATCTTGGCGAACTCCGCCGCTTGACATTGATTGTGATCGCAGAACTGAAGGCAGAGCCGGAAGTAGTGAGCGTAAGAAATTGAAGTATGAGGAATGTCTCTCAGCTTCGCTTTCACCTTCTCCATCTGCGATGCCCTCAGAATCTTCCTCGCATCATTCGCGGAAATTCCCATGCCATTCGGAGCCATCGGATGATTTGAATCGAGATCGACTGTGTTTATGACTTTGAGCTTGTCCCCCACGGGAAGTGGGAGAATGTCGGAGTGGCGACACCCGCTTCTGGCCTCGAGAAAGCGGCGGAAGAAGCCATTGTGGGAGGATTCCGGCGAGGTAAGATATTGCTGGAGGGAGATGGGTCCGGGAGAAATCGGGGGAGTGGGGAAGGACATTTTTACACCGTCGAAAAGGCGTTTTGGGAAAACTTTCCGAAATGCCATTGACGAGTACGTGTGCTTTCTTTGTTTGCTTCAGTGGTTGGAGGGAGATACACAATGCCCCAGGAATCCAAGTCCTATTTAAAGGATTTCAATACTCTTATTCGGCCCCACTCTCTCACTCAAACTAAGACCCACTTTCAAGAATATCCTTATTTTCTAAACTCGTAACAATTATAATATTATCTACAATATATCTTTTTACACACTATTCTTTTATTTTAAACTCATATATTTTTTAACCTCCTTATTTGTTTTTATATTTAAATTTTAATATTATATTTTTTTTAATTATATATAAAAACGTATTTAATTTTTTTTTAAATTGTAAAATTATTAAATAGTAGTTAAATATAAAACATAATTCTCAAATCCTCGTTTTCTATTTGCCTAAAAAAAAATCTATAATAGTTAAATAAAAGGAGGAAGTTTATGCAATTTCTTGACATGAAATTAGGTAGAGATAACAAATTTTACATATTCAAATCAAATCTATAATTATCTAAACCAAATAATTGTTTACTTGATAACTTTTACGAAAATTATAGTAATAGTCATACATTCTTTTATCTTGTAAAACAAAGCATCTCCTCCTTATATCCTTCACTTATTTCAATAATAAAAAATAAAATTTAACATGTTTGATATTAATTTTTATAATCTTATATCTATATTAATATTTAGAAGCTGAAATTGTTAACAAAATAGTTTTTATAGTATACTTTCACGAAAATGAATACATTAAGCATATTGTTTAACTTGTTTATTCGAATTAGATGTTTGGTTTCCTTTATAATAATATTTAGAATAAGTTACAATTACATTCTTAAGATTCTATTTTATATTTTCTGTTTTTTTTTTTTTATATTACTCTTGGATTGGTTTTCTTTATAAGGGTTATAACTGTAATGTTCTTATAAAAACATAAGAGTTGCATTTATAATATACAAATATTAATTAGGATTAGTGTAATGTTTTTAACCAAAAGAAAAATTTACACAGGATTTGAAAAACTTGGAGTGAGAGTATAATTTAAGAAAATATCAATCTAATTTACTCTAATAATTATATATTTTTTTCATTATAATTTCCGTCTTATAATAGAAATTTATTGTTAAAAGTTTTTTTAATACTTATATAGGTGATGGTAGGTGACATGACAATTCAAAACACGAGAAAAAGTTGAAAATTTGGTTGATTGAGTAAAAGGACAATTGGACAAGGACGGATAATGATAGAAGGGTTAAATGAAATAAAGAGAAATTAATTGAGGAAAAATATATTTTTTTTAATATATAAATGTGTTGTTTGGATAAAAGTTTTTAATAAAACTTAAATTTTAATTATCTATGAAAATTATTTTTTGTTTGAAATTAATAAATTTTAAATTAAAATACATAAAATTTTGAAATTATTAATCGGAATGATATTATCACGTTACACTTGTCAAAATTACTAATGCGGAAAGGAATATCAACCACTAAAAATCAAAGGTCATAAATTCCTATAAACTAAAAATAAAAAGTATTTTATATATGACAACTATTTTCTTTTATCGTGATTAAAATAAAAATGAAATATTTACAGTGATTAAAAATAAGCATATCACATTAACAAAGAGTAAAAGCAAAATAGAGCAATGTATTCACTGGAGTGAAATAAATTTAGAAAAAAAAAATAAATACTATACGAAATTTGATTGAGAGTGGTTGAATATCTGTGTTAACTCAAATATTTTTATTTTTTATTTTGTTGAATTAATTATTTTTAATATTAACACTGTTTATTAATTTTGTTGTCTTATTAAACTGCAATAATAATGGTTATTTTATAAAATTATCACAATAGTCAATTAAATATATATTTTATTCTTTATTAATTATTTAAATTATCTATTTTTTAAATTATTAAAATAATTTTTATCCAAATGGACCTGCACAAGTAGCCCATAAAATGAGACACATCATTCATCTGTGTATATATATATATATATATATATATATATATATATATATATATATATATATATTTAAATCAAGCAAAAATGATTATTTAGCTCAATATATAATCAGATCAGATCAAATTTTATTGATCCATTCAAATTATTGGTAGAGGCAACACAATTTTTTTTTCCAACCCCAATATCTTATTGTCAATTCTAATTGTTAGAATACAAATACCAGAGTAGGTCAACTGACCCAGAAAACTTTAAGATGGATCAAGTTAAAAAAGAAAAGGCCACATTAAGTTGTTCATCTTTTTGTATGTGAAAATAATGAGTCTTCAAGATAGAAGAACTTTCTTGTGTTAAACAAGAGTAAAAAGTCTACAATATGCCTAAACAACATTTTTCCACTATCAAATTATTTAAATTTCTTACACAGATTACTTATCCTTCTAATATATAACTCATTCAAACAATTTCACATTCACTCTTATAAAGAAATATTATCTTTATTACTTCACATAAATAAAAAGACTTTCTTCCTATAAATATATTATTTTCTATTTCAATTTCAAGTCATATATTGCTCTGCACTTTTAATGGCATCACTGTGGGTGAGTTAACCATTTTATTAACGTCATAACCATTAGATTTAAAATAAATAAATAAATAAACACAACCAAAATTAAAAATAAAATAGAATAGGTAATAAAAGAAAAAAAATTTCACCTCTCACATGTGAACACGTTCAGTCACTTTTACATTTAAAAATAAAACCGAGGTTACAACAGAAGGTTGTAATAATATTTTTGCAAGAACAGAGGAAGAAAAAAGAGACGAGTGAAGCAGAACAACGAACATTGTTCTCCGCGTAGGCAAATGAAATACCCAGTGACATGCCATGCAAAATCAAAGTACCCGAAGCCTTGGTGGGGGCACATGTTTTGGGTCCAGGCCCACAGGCCCGGGTCTTTTTTGAGAATAAGGAGGACTAGGAGGTGGCGGAGAAAAGAAATAAAACGCCGCGGGTGGTGGTGGCGGTGGCAACAACCACGACGGTGGTGGAGGTTTACGATGCCCATGATTAGGAGGTGTATGGTGGTAGCAACCTGGTTTGTGTGAGGGAGGTGTTGGACTGGGGTAGGAGGAGTGGACAAGAGCACATGAACTGAAGAGTGACAAAGCCAAGAGAAACTCAATCCACACTTGAAAGTTATTCATTTCTTTTTTCTTCTTCAATTGTTTGTTACTAAGAAAACCACACCTAAAAAGGGTTGAAGATAGGACTTAGGATGAATAATGGAGACAGAAGGTACTTATAGGAGCAAAGGGTCAAAGAGGTGAGTTTGTTTGTGTAGTGATGGTTAGCTAATAATGCAGTGTGTGTATTTTGAAGAGTTTATAAAAAATAGTGTTAATATAATAAGTTTTGTAATAATGAATGTCAAAGAAAGCACCAACCGACCAACAAACTTTATTGGCGTGTCTGAAATGTGAGGGCAGACGTTGAATTTTCTCAAAAGCTGTTTTCAGTGCTTCGCCGCTCCATGGCCCACCACCACTATCACATTTCCCTTTCTTACTCAATTTCTTACCTACTTCATTTTTACTTTTTTATTACATAATTAAACCTTTTTCATTGTATTAAAAATTGTGTATTTTCTTTCTTTTTAAGAATTTAGTATGATGGAGTACTATTTTTTGTTTTATCAATTACTATTTCTCTACATAGGCTTATTTATTTATGTATTTATTTTATTATGAATTGTACTATCTGTACACCTCAAACTCCCTGATTACACTTTGAGTGGATTGGATTAGACTTGGTTTAGCGCACTAAATAGGAAATAGTTCAGTTTAAAGTTACGAGTTTTAAACATGATGAAATTAATTCAAATTAATTATGTATTAGATATATAATACAAATATTATTTATCTAATAATTTAAATATACAAAGGAAATAATGTTACAATAGATTATATGAATATTTTTATGTGAAAATTGTAAATAAATATTCATACCACACATGCATATGTTTTATCGTTAACATTCTCTTTTGGAATCATATTTAATGAGTTGTAAAATATTTTTTTTGGTTAAAAGTTTTATAATATTAATTTAATATTGCTATTTTATTATATCAGTACTTTAACAATTATGGTTTATGTTATGTTATAAATATCATTGTTATCTTATGAAAATTAAAATTATTGATTTTGATTTTTTTTTGTGAAGAGTTAAAGATGTAATTATTTGTATAGATATTCAAGTTAATGAACCAATCAATTATAGTTGAATTGTTAAAAAGAAAATTATTAATGCAACTAAATCCATGGAAATTTAATTGGTTTGTATAGAAAATTAAACAAATTCTACTCCACCACTCTCAGCATCTCTAGTAAAAGTTCATAAGAATAGAAATTATTATTTTAATAAAATTTTATATACAAAATTGTTTAAAATGAATGAAAGTTATTTATATGACTAATTTTTATTTATTATGCAATTTTATAAATTTCAAAATATGCAATTTCTTTTGAATTTTGTAAGTTTTTTTTTTTCACAAAACCTTTTGAATTCATTAAAATTATAAACAATTTTTTTGCAGACATAAGATTACAACAAAGAGTACTAAATAAAGTTATACAGTGGTAACCAGAACCTACATGTGGTAAAGTGCATTTTCATTTTATTTTTTAAGCTATATTTAATAAACTTTCTATTTTCGTATATTCTTATCTTCTATCTGTAAATAATTAAAAATAAATCATAGGGTAATAAAAATTTACAAAAATTGAATGCACAACCAGGTCCATTTCTATCGAAGGCAAAAGCTTTTTTATTTGTTTCAAATTTGCACTTCAATGACACAGTTTCATGTAACACTGATGTAAAATTAAACATATGGGAAGAATGTCAAGTTTTATCCTTTTTCTCAAAAGAAATGCTCTTAAACAAAATTTAATTGGGAAGTAAAATTTTCAGTTAAAGAATGGAACACTGAATCTTTATTCTGCTTCCGGCACACTGGTGTTAGCGCAAACTCAACCATGGCCAACACACTTTCAACAGTATCTTTAAGATGATAGCGGCCAACACACTTTCAACAGTATCTTTAAGATGATAGCTGCGAAGTTCACCGGACAAGGTAGGACAACCCAACCCAAGAACTCATGCAAGACTAATAAATGAAAGTTGAGAAAAACTAAAAATATATACATCAAGGTCTCTGAAAACCCACTTCCCAGGTCAGCAATACATTGAATCAAGTTGAAAAGAAAGCCGTGGAGACTTCCCTACAATCCAGCTGCAATGTCATACATATCTACACAACTGGGTGGCTACAAAAGAGTAAGAACCTCTATATTACCTCAAACTACTAACCTACTACTATATCAGAATGTTAAAGATCACCGGTAAATATGTTACATAATAGGAAGGGAAGTGAATATTACATACATTATCTTTGTTAGCTAGACTTTTTAACTTACCAAACATCATTTCTCGCATCATTCGGTCTCATTTGCATACAGTCTTGAGCCTCTTTGCAGCTTGGACAAATCCCACAATCACCTGCAACTCGTCAATTTGCTTCACAGAAAAGAAACACAAAGTTCAGACAACCAGCTAAATTTCGTTCTCCATCAAACTTACAAAATCACTTGAACACATGCACATCCTCGTACATTTAAAGGCATTGCTTTGTTTGTTGGATAGAATTTGATGACAAGGTTGCACCACATTCATCACTAACTAGGAACTACAATTGGGAGAAATATGAAAAAAACTAGATTTCTCTTATATAAGGCATTCATATAGATATATTCTTTGACTGATAGAACATTATATAAACAATTATAAAATATTAAACTACTTATTTCTAATATATTTTTTTATTAATTTTATTCTTAAAAGATAAAAAATAATATTTTTTTATCAAACACGAGATTCTCCACATACAAACTTAATCTGTGAACCATTCAATATTTGAACGACAAACAAAAATGCAATCAATAATTTAGATACCTGCGACATGAAATGCCTCTGAACAACGTCTACAAGCTGCTCTTTTGATGGGTTTGGGACCGCATCCACCTACAGATCCATTTTAAGATGTAAGAACCTTGGGGACACATACACACACTACTAAAACCATCTTTTATGGGACATAGTAACAGCGAATAGTTCAAAAAAATTTACAAGATTAAAATGTCGCCAATATCTCCACAATGCAGTCATTTCAAGTTTGCTCAAGTCCACCTTCTATAGAAACCATTTCAAAACAATGTTAATAAAATATAATAACTAAGAAATAAATCATTTACTATGCTGAGAGAAATTAAAATTAAACAAAAAATAAAGGTGATATACCGTGGACCCATGAGGCATAGAAACGGACCCCTTCGAGTGGGAATCGCCAGAGAAGGACCTACTCAGGGTCTTGTAAGATGATCCCAATGTTCTATGTATTCTGTGTCTCGATTTGTGAGACTTTTGTGTGTCGTCCGATGCTAAAAATCAAACAAAGCTCACAAATTTAATAACAATAAAAAGGTGGTGGGGTCAAAAGTGATTAAAGTAAGACACTAAAACTTCATAGATAACAAAATCAAAATGAGAAGACAATGGATCCAATGTTACCAAGCTCTTCCACTTTGGAAACCCACGCACATGGAAGCCAAAACAACAATTAATAAATAAAAATATCACAACATTCCCATATATGTATACTTTCACTGTCGAGTGAACACACAATACCAATACCTGTCAGCAAGCAAGACACTTAAAAACTGTAAATTGTATACTCACCCATATCAGATCCATTCCACTGCATATTTTCAAATTCAAGGTCATCATCTTCCTCGTTACCAGTGGGTGCTTCAATCACACTAAGAGCATTCCTCTGCAGTTTCACTTCAATACCATTTGTAAGAACCTGCATTTTTTTACACCAGTTAAGAAATAATCCTTTAACAGCAAATGCCAACTAAGGAACTGCAAAATATCCGTAACAATTAGGATTTACTCAAAATATTTGGCGATTACAGGTGCTAGTATGGGTTTCATAGAAATGATCTCGCTCCATACTCGCACCAATTAAATATTCTTATTTACTTATAAACTATCATTATAAATATATAAGAATTATAGTTTTATTTAAATTTGACTCAATGTTATTTTTAAATTCGTTAGATTCTTGTGAATAACATATTTTTCATAGTACAATAAATGTTCAAAATCAAAATTTACTCACATATGATCGATGTGAGACAAGTGATTCATCGAATAAAATCATTAATACTATGTCAACATTCACCATCATAAAAATAATACTTTTAGACATGAATATTAAAATTAAAGGTTTCTATTCTTAAATTTTGATACATAGACAAATAAGTATATCATATAAAATAAAGAATAACACTAATTTAAACTTATAAAACGAATCACAAAACATTTTAAAAAACGGTGTTTATATAAGAAATAACAAAATTAAATACCCATGAAGAGAATAAGTTACGGTAAAAAATATTATAACTTTCAAAATAAGAACTGAAATTTAATAATATAAAAAATAACTGGACAATAATTTTTATAATAGTATTTGTAGGATATTTATTTATGTAAGTGAGAGAGCTAAGCTTCCAAGCAAATGGTTCCCGGACAAGGATATATGCATCACTCTAATGGGAAACAATATGTCTTGATTTGAATCCAATATGTCATTGACTTGGAATGTATTTTACCTCCCATTATGTCTTGATTTGAGATTTTAAATTAAAAGTGAATGCATTAGTAATTTTACACAAGATGTACCAAATGAAATATATTTAGCTTTACATAGTACAGTGAAAATAAGTTCAAATAACTTCTTTAAATTAATTATTAAAATTTTCTCCACCAGTAATGTTAAAGACACGTTCTACATCCTACTAAAAAGAAAGAAATGGAGAAATTGATTCTAATAGGATGATATCAAATAACATTTTAATTTGTGTTTTTTTTTTTTTAAGTTTAGCTTATTAATACAAACTAGATAGTGTCCATGTATCATTTATTATAGGTTTTGGAGAGTAATAGAACATGATGTCCAAGTTTTAAAAAAATTGTTATAGAAGTTTATTGTTAGATTTCAGTTAGCAAAATTTAAAGTTAGCTTCTAATGTTCTATTGTTGTTCTGACTGTCGCTTGGATGATTTAGGATTATGCTTGAATGAATTAAAATTAACAATTTAGTTACACAATTTTTTTAGAGGCAATTTTATTTAATGTATTTATTGCATGGATATTAGTTGCGGATATTACAATATAGGAAAATGGAGATTAAAGTTTTTAGTCCAGCAAGTGCTTAGAGTGGGTTTTTTTCAACAGTAATTTGTCCAGATCCTGTCCAATGTCTTCTCTAAATCCCAAATAGTTCCAAACAATCTTAGCTTATAAACTATATTCAAATTCAAATCTCCCAAAGGAAGCCCCGAGACTAGTTTGATTTCAATGCAAATTGACCATAGAATTATATAATCAGTCATTTTTATAAACAAAAAAATATTAAAAATCAGATAGGCGAAATTGGGGTCCGATTCCTATTTTGATATGAGTAAAGTAAATATAAATTTCTTGCCCTGAGTCTGATTCAATACCCTACTAATAGTATAAGCTTAATTCAATTCAGAGCTAAGACATCACATTAGCAACACCAAAATCAGAGCAAAGATTGCTTAATTTACTTCCGTCAATAAAAAAGAACAAACAAAAGACCTAATTAACAACTGATCCTGGTAGAGCATTTCATAAAAAGGCAGATCCAGCAATGAAGAAAGACATGCAACGGATACCCACAAGTAGTTGTTCAGAATTGTGTATTAAATCATACAAAAACGAATAAAACCTAATCAAACAGCAACACGAAGAGCCCAACATTTGAAATATTGAATTAAAATAGCTAAAAGAATGATTCAGATAACAATCACGCAGTAGACACCTTCAAGCAACGGGGGCTTCAAAGTAATTAATTTGGTCAGAATTATAAGCGTGACGAAATAATAAAGCAGAAACTACCAAAATTGACCGACACAAGACACACTAGTTGAAAGAATGACGCGGTCTCACAACAATGCAACCAAAGGACATTAGCAATCCAAAATTAGAATGAAGAAATCCATAATCTGAAGTGTCATTTTGATGGGAAAGAGAAAATTACCAGCCAATGCCAGCCTCCTAGACCAACGGCCTTCTTGACAACACCTTGGAGACCAACAAGCACCGATTTGGTACGGTTATTTCCGGTTACCACCACTTTGGTGTGACGTGGCAGCACCGATAACTCCTCCTCGCTGCTGTCTCCGCAGCTCTGCAAATGGGAGAAGCCACCATTGACTGAACTTTCCATTGCCTCAAGCATTTCCAATTCAGCGCTAAAAAGGCAAAACTCCAGAATCAAATATCAAAACGGCATTCGTACGGAAGATCATGCATTGCTGAAGGCGAATGTGGGAGTTTCAAGAACAGAGGAGATAGGGAAGTGGAGAAATTGGGGAAATTCTGCAGAGAGAAAAACACAAGATGAAAAGAGAGAGAAATTGAGAAAGAAAGAGAGAGAAAAAACGAGTGAGAGTGACTCGTATTGTTAATTGGTGTGTTGGTATGAATCCCGACGAGACGAAGTGCCCCAATCAAAAGGAGCCACGTCACCCAAGGAAGGTGAACTCTTCAATCATGTTCCGCTCCGTCCTTCCAATCAATTAACCAAATAAATAAACAATTCCACTCCATTTCAATAAACAATTTTCCGTGTAAATTATAAATTCTTATTTCCTAATTACTAATCATTATTTATGATGAAATGAAAAAATTAAAAATATATGCAGTGACGAAGCTGTCAGATTTATGTTTTGTGCACCTTGAGATTTCATATTTTATGGATTACTTTATTCAATTACTTGCAATATATTTTTATCCAGTAATATTTTTTAGGATAAAAATCATATTATAGAACAGATTTGTGCATTCTAAAAATATTTTTTTATACAAAATTAAAATTATAAATTGGCATTCAATCTTCTTTTATTTTTATTATTTTAATTATTTTTCTTGTAGATTTAAAATGACTTAAAATTATTTTTATTAATGATTTTTTTTACATAAAGTTTAGGTAAAAGATGCATATTCATATTACTATTTTAAATTTTATTTTATATAATCATTGGTACATTATTGAAATATTTCATTAATAAAAAGTAAATATTTATAATATAATATAATTTAAAATTCTCAACTATATCTCTGTTTATTAAACTTTTTTCTATCAATATTTATATTTATTATATAATTTAAAGTTCTGTATTATTATTAAAAAAATAATGTATTGTTCAAATTGAAATTTTGAATGAAGATAAGTAAATTTTTTAATAAGTTTTTCATCTATTAACTTCTAAGTGGTCAGTGTCATTTATGATTTAGTATGATATATTAGGTTGCACATTTATATATTCGTAGATGACACTTTATGAACTATTTTGTATTATTTAAACAAATTTAACGTGTTTACTATATTACAATATAATTAATAGTTTTTTTTATGTTCGTTAGCTTATGTTTCGAATATCACAAAATTCGTAATTTTTTTAAACTAATACTAGCAAATAACGAAGCGAGTAAGACAAATATTTTAAATAAAAACAAAATTATTGTGGAACGAATAACTATATTATTATCATCTTAATTTTAACATATTAAAACCTTTGTAAAACATTCTATTAACTTAACTTAACTCTGATACAACATACGTTAATCTTGTAGAAAAATATATTGTTAACATGTTTTGAAAATTAGGTAATGTAGGTTGAAACAAGTGCTAAAATGACTTGTTTTATAAACAAGTGTTACAAATAATCATTTTTAATAACATGTGTTTGAATATGAAATAAATTATATTAAAAAAAGTTATCACATTCTATACGCTTAAGTTCATATGAAATAAAATATTTGGTCGAAAATTACAGTAACCAAACTTATACACAAAAAGGAAAGGTACAGAATATGTAACATTTTATATTATTTGTAATTAGGATAATGTAGTGGAATTTCGTTTTAAGTATAGACGTGGTTCTAGGTTCTGAGAATGAGAACATAAAGATATTTTTATTTATCTCCAGAGAATAATAAAGGGATATGCTGCAAGCATGGGTTAGATACATTAATCAAGGAAAGTGTTTATTTTATGGGATAGTAAGAAAAAAGTATTTAAGATAAGTGGCGTATTTATTAAAAAAGAAGAAGAAAAAAAAAAGTTAAAGTTGGTGGCGTAATAATTTGTTTGAAAACTTTGTTGTCTTAATTTGACTATTGTGGAGATGGGAGAAGACCCCACCATAACCCAAGGGAAACACATTGACTATTGTTTGTCATCCTTACAACTTTTGTTACTCTTATTTTCCTATGTACGTACGCAGACATTTTATACTCAATTAATAAATATTTTATATTATTTTACATTAAATTATATTTCAAATCATATCCTCATAAAATATATTTTGTTCCATTTTTACCACGTCAAACTATTGTGGTTGGTCGAATAAAGTATCAAAATTTCGTCATAAAATAAACAAAATTATATATTATTTAGTATAAATAAAGTCTGGTCCACTTTATAACCCCTTATAATTCAAAGCTTGGATTAATTAATTGTGGATTATACTAAGAACAAATTTTTTTTATTAGGATGTTATTTTCTTTGAGAAAAAAAGTATTAGTCAAATTTGAAAATAATTTTAACCAAAGGTTTTTGGAAAATATTTTAACAACATCTAAAAGTAATTGTAGTGTACTTTTTGTATGATATTTTTATATATGGTCTATCAAATTTTTAATCCGATTTTATTGTAGTAATATTTTTTATTGTTATGATTCTTTTTAGTTTTGTAAAGTCTACGGGTATAATGTGTTTTCATTTAATCTATTCACCATGTGATGTTTAATGGAACAAAAGCTTTGAATAATTAAACTTAAAATTAAATTAAAATTTATTTTCATCATCCCAATTTATTATATGATAATTTAATAATTAAAATAAAATATTATTTTAATCATTAGGTTAAAAAATAAATAATTAAAATAATAATATATTTATTATTTATAATAATATATTTATTATTTATAATAATAAAATATTACTTATATATTATTTTTTTATTTTTTTATAATATAATTTTTTTATTTTATTTTTTATATTTTTATTATTTTTGAAATCTATAAATTATAATTTTTTTTAACTTTAATTTTTTTCTCTTCGATAACATAAAAAAAAAACTTTTACCAAAAAAATCCTTTTATTTATATGAGTGGAAACCCAAGCGTCAAAATGACTACTACTAGTTGACATTTTTTTTAATATATTATTTTCTCTTTTCACTTTTTAAATATATATTTTAAAATCTTTTTCTCATATTTTACTATTGTTAAAATATATAAATGGTATTTATGTTTTTAAAAATTGACATTAATCTCCTTTACTGTATTAAATTGTCATAATTTTTTATATTTTAATTATCACATTTTTTATTTACTAATTAATATGATATTTTTAAATATATAAAAGACAGAAGTGTGTATCTTATTAAAAATATGAATATTTATTTTAAGACTAAAAGACATATAAATATTACGTTATTAAAAGTATAAATTTTTATTTTAAAAATATAAAATGTAATGTAATATGAAAAAATGAAGAATGTTAGAAGAAAATGCATGGAGTGATTAGGTTTGCATGTGTTGGTGGGGGCCATTTTGATTCAAAAATCCTCTGATTTTGACTTCAGGACGGCTAGTGAGTGTGATTAAGCGGGAATGGATATTTTAAAGAAGTATCACCACCACTCATTCACCCACCACCTTTAAACGCGCCGTTTCAACATCATCACAAAACGTAATCACAATCCTCACTCACCTTTCCTTTACTTTAAATGAATGGAGTTTATAAAATCAAATATCATCACAACCTAAGAACAAAACATTCTTTTCAAACACGGTGTATACATTTAAACAACAAGATCCTTAACAAAAGATTTTGTTATATTCTCCACACAAAAAAATAAATATATATATATATATATATATTTCTTAATAATCATGTTTTTTTACTAACAAAAAAGATTTGATTTTCTTAAATTATTTAAAATTATACTAAAAAGACCAATATTACCGATGAAGTGAGTGTAACGGCTCTATTTCCACAGGGTTTTGAATGAATTTGAAGTTGTACGGAATAGTGTTTTGGTTTGGCAGTGGGTACAAGGCTGTCAAAATGAAATTAGGTTGAACCATAATTGCAATTTTGAAGGACCTATCCTCATAGTTCGTACGTTTTGGCTGTTGGATAAGGATTAGAAATTTAGGATAATAGGATACCCCCACACACTTCACTACTTTCCCCTTTATAGAAACTAGTACTCCTTAGCTTTATAATGTTTATAGCTATGCTAGTAGAAAGGAAATTAAAGATTAATTAATAAAAAGGTCACAAACTATTTTTCTTCACACAATTCATTTATTTTATATTCAAATTTTATTTTTGGTTGTTGCATTAAAAGTTATCTATCACATTGACCTCAAACTAATAAATTTAAAACAAGATAGAAAACCATATTCATAAGATACCTTTTGTATTTTGCAGAAAATATGCTTTCAAATATTTGTAATTTTAAGATTTTATGGTAATTTTAATTTTGTATAAATCATCAAATGTGTTTTTATTAAAAAATAATATAAATGTTTATATACCCTAAAATGAAAATCACAATATTAAAAGAAAATAAATAATATAATACATTGTTAAAGAAGGTAATGAATTGAAAATTTTATTAAAAATTTGAGGATAAAACCTAGAATATGGGGCTTTATTTAAGTAACCAAAAACATTATAAAAGAGTGAACTTAGTTCATCTTATAAAAACAACTTCTAATATATAACAAAACATACAAGAGAATCGCAGAAACTATATACCAGTTCAATTTTTTATCTGATACCATATGTTGTATGCTAAGCACTTGATTTTTTTTATTTTTTTTCAACCAGGTTGAAAAGAAATAAATATTTTCTTAATAAAAACAAATTATGTTCATTTACCAAGAAACACTTTAATAACAAAAAAACAAATTGTTTTCCTCACGAGGAGAAAAACGAGCATAATTAAGAGTGTTTTCAGTTGAAGAGAAACTACCAAAAAAAATATATACATTAAAGTCTGGAAACCCACTTCCCAGGTCAGCAATACATTGAATCAAGTTGAAAAGAAAGTCATGGAGACTTCCCTGTGATCGATCCAGTTGCAGCGTCATTTATATCTACACAACTGGGGGTGGCTACAAAAGAGTAAGAACCTCTATAACCTCGAATTACTAACCTACACCCTACTATATCAGAAAGTTACAAATCACAGATAACATAAACGATGGGAAGTGGATATTACATACATTATCTTTGTTAGCATACACTTTGACTTTTCAAATATCATTCTTCACTTCCTTTCATCTCATTTGCACACGGTCTTGAGCCTCTTGGCAGCTTGGACAAATCCCATAATCACTTGCAACTCGTCTATTTGCTTCATACAACACAAAATCAATTTCAGACTCTCAGTAGCCAAATTATTGTTCAACTTCTTCATACATATAGTCGTACACAATGAGTGTTTAAAAGCATTGTGTAATATGCAAGTAATTTTGAGATACCTGCGACATGAAATGCCTCTGAACAACGTCTACAAGCTGCTCTTTCGATGGGTTTGGGACCGCATCCACCTGCAGATCAATTTCAAGAATAAGTACAGAGGGGACAGACGTACACAATGCCAAAACCATAGTTGGTTCAAAGGAATTTACAAGATTAAAATGGCGCCAATATCTCCACAATGCAGCCATTTCAAGTTTGCTCAAGTCCACCTTCTATAAAAAATAAAATAGTTTAGAAAATTTTAACAATTAAAATACCAAGGAATAAACCATGCTCGGAAGTGGGACTGGGGAACAAATTAAGAAAAACAATAAAGTTGATATACCGCGGACCCATGAGGCATTGAAACGGACCCCTTCGAGTGTGAATCGCCAGAGAAGGACCTACTCATAGTCTTGTGAGATGATCCCAATGTTCTATGCATTCTGTGCCTCGATTTGTGGGACTTCTGTGTGTCGTCGGATGCTGATAAATCAAACAAAGCACAAATTTTTAAAAATAGAAAATAAAAAAAGTGGTGGGGTCAACCAGGATTAAAGTAAGACATTGGAACTTTAGAGATAGTAAAAGCAAAAGGAGAAGACAGAACGGATCCAATGTTACCAACCTCTACCACTTCGGAAACCAGCGGATATGAATGCCAAAACAACAATTAATTAACAAAAATATCAAAGCATTCCTATACATGCGCCTACTTTCAGACACAATGGCAACAAACACCACTCAACATGGGAGGTTCAGTCCTTGATCAAAACACCAGATCATTTCAAGTTGATAAAAACTGGAGAGTGTAGTTTGTAAATCTCTCCATTCATTACTTTTTTTTATATATATTAAAATCATTAAATATTATTATGGCTAAGATTTGATCAAGTTGAGGATGTTTCCACACAATACCAGCACCAGACAGTAAAGAAGACAATTAAAAACTGTAAAGTGAAGACTCACCCATATCAGATCCATTCCACTGCATATTTTCAAATTCAAGGTCATCATCTTCCTCATTACCGGTGGGTGCTTCAATCACACTTAGAGCGTTCCTTTGCAACTTCACTTCAATACCATTTGTTAGAACCTGCATTCATTTATAAACAATCAAGAACAACTTAAAATAGTAGTCCAGCAGGAAATGCCAACCAAATTTAGAATAAAAATAAAAATATTAAAATTTATATCTCCAAGAAAAAGAAGTCCCAGAAACTAGCTTGATTCCAATGCAAATTGTTCATATAAGATGTACAATCAAATAGTTATAAGTACAAACAAAAGAATCGCAGAGGAAAAATTGAGGGAAAATGAAATAAATGCGAAGCATTGAATGATTACACGTTTAGAGAATACCACTGATCCTGATGAAAGTAAAATAAATATTATCCTATCCGCAATGAGAACAAAGGCGTTTGTGTGATTCAACCGCTATGTCAATGGCACAAGTTTAATCTAGGCATAACCAGAACAGTTATTATGCATCTTATCCCCCGGAAAAAGAAGAAGATCGCGCAGGTAATGAACATGCAGCAAATAAACAATCCCAAATAGAAAACCGCCTTTAGTTTGAGTAGAAAAGAAACATAAAAAAAAATAAAATAGTTTATTTAAAATTTTAAATAGGAAACAATGACAAAAGAGCGTAAAAGTACTCAATTCAGAACCTCAAATTACCAATACCAAAAATCATACCAATGACAAATTCATTTATTTCCGTCGATAAATAAAAGCAATTAAAAGACTCAATCAACAGCTGATCCTTATAGAGCAACTCATGAAACACCAGATCCAGCAATAAAGAAAGACATGCAATGAATATCCATAAGTAATTATTCAGAATTGCGACTCAAAACATAAATATAGGGACAAAACCTATCCAAACAGCAACACAAGGAACCCTGCATTCGAAATTCTAAATTAAAAGAGCTGAGTGAATGATTGAGATAACAATTCACACAGTAGTGTTCAGAACGGATTAATTAAAAACCTGTCTGATTAGATGAAAAAAAAAAAAAAACTCGGGCTTGAAAGCAATTAAATTTGAGCATAATTAGCCGCGTGACAAAATAATAAAATAAAAACTCCCAAAATTGACCGAAACAAGACACCAGTTGGAAGAACGACGCAGTTTCACAACAATGCAAACAAACGACATTAGCAACCCCAAAATTAGAATGAAGAAATTCATAATCAGAAGCGTCGTTTTGATGGGAAAGAGAAAATTACAAGCCAATGCCAGCCTCCTAGGCCAACGGCTTTCTTGACAACACCTTGGAGACCAACAAGCACCGATTTTGTGCGATTATTTCCGGTTACCACTACTTTGGTGTGGCGTGGCAGCACCGATAACTCCTCCTCGCTGCTGTCTCCGCAGCTCTGCAAATGGGAAAACCCACCATTGACTGAACTTTCCATTGCTTCAAGCATTTCCAATTCAGCGCTGAAAAGGCGAAACTCCAAAATCAAATATCAAAATGGCATTCGTAAGGAAGATCGTGCATTGCCGAGGGCGAATGTGGGAGTTTCAGGAGCAGAGGAGATAGGGTAGTGGAGAAATTGGGGAAATTCTGCAGAGAGAAAAACACAGATGGAAAGAGAGAGAAAGATAGAAAGAAAGAGAGAGAAAAACGAGTGAGAGTGACTGGTATGGTTAATTGGTGTGTTGGTATGAATCCCGACGAGACTAAATGCCCCAATAAAATGGAGCCACGTCAGAGAAGGAAGGTGGACTCTTCAATCATGCACTTGAAGAGAGCAAGGTTACATGAACATGATGTGGGTCTTGTTTTAAGGAGTTACTCCTCTTCACATTCCTCACTCACTTTTCCCCTTACAATCAATTATTAACCAAATAAATAACTGTGCAATTTGTATTATTTAAAAAATAATAATTAAAGTAGTTAATTTAATTACTACTCAACCACTCATCAATGTATTTTCATTGAATTGAACAAGAAGTTGATGTTTTAAATTTGAAAACTTTGCCGTTGCAGGCGCAAATTCAGTCCTTGGATAAAAATGAGTTGCCCTGGACACACCAGTGTGGCTGCCATTGTAATTACCACCTGAAGAGGATTTGCTTACTAAATATATAATGTTTTGTCTCTTATTAACTTCAAGTACTATGATGATATTTCTGGTCAACTTTCAATTGCAGAAAATATCATTTTATGGTCATCTGAAAATCTACTCATGTACACATCTCCTGTTATAAAATGAATAGAGTAACACAAGAAAAACGGATAGAGTTCAAATGTTCAATGGTTCTTTCCTAATGAAACAACCAAAACAATGATAAGACAGGGTATTGGGCATTTTGTAAAAGGATAATGTTTTTTTTTTCAATTATTATTCTTTTTCAGCTACACCAAAATAAATCATTCACCTTTTCCCTTTATTTTTTTTTCTTCTATATTGTGAAAAATGTGATTCTGTGACGTAGTGTGTGGAATTAAAAAGAAAAAAAAAATACATGAGTTTATGAGAGATGAGAAGGAAAAAGATGAAAGAAAGTACGTCGTAACGTGTAATGGTAACAGCAATAGAATGGAGAACGTAAACGGACACGCGAAATTCATCGTGAGGGCCCCACTTGCACAGAAGTCTGTACCTGCCGTCGGTGTTGTCCTATCCATTCCAGCACGGGAAATTCCAACTCACTGCTCTCTCTCTCTCTTCACAATACCACAGAGCCACAACAAACATCATAAAAAAATAAAAATAAAACAGCCAAACAATTAAAATAAATTATTATTAAATTCGATACTAGTTGTGTTGTGTTGTCTCTACTTTCTGTCGCGCCATCTTTCCCGCCACAAGGGAGCAACAAGAGCCGTGGATCTAGGACCAACGATGTGGCTAATCCAACCGCTGGATTTGGTCAGAGATAATAAAATTAGAAAAAGTTATGTGTCCTGCTTCCTGGTATTGATGATGATGATGATAACAAAGTTGAGAAAAAGAGGGAACTAAATCTTTTTTCGACACCATTCGCACAAAGGATAATGCTAAGAATTCGGGAACAACGGTAACTTTTTGTGGGGGTTATCTGCTTGTGACTCACTGAAGCTTCAGCCTCAGCCTCAGCCTCAGCCTCCATTTCCTAGTCATAGTCAATGCGACTCCCCTTTGTACAATACTAACAAATGCATATTTCTACACCTTTTACTGAAAACAAGAAAATTCCGTGTGGTGAGATGATATATTGTGTTATTCCGTGTGATCAATTCATCATTTATTACACCAAACAGAGTGATGGCAGTAGTAGTATTACACTATTTTTTGAGGGTCTGAACTGAACTCTTCTCCTTTACCAGTTTAATACCAATGTTTAATGATAATAATAATGGGACAATATGATGACCTAAATTATTGTAACCACGCTACACTTTTCCCCAGTCTTGTTGCGGGGATTGGGGTAAGAGTCTTCCCACCTTCCTTTACATCATAATTTCAGAATCTCGGTATTTATTCACCTGTCAAAAAAGAAAGTGAATGTACTCATCTACAAGAGTTAAAAAAAAAAATTACATCTTTAATCTTTTTGTTCATTAGAAGTTAATTCATTATTATTGTAAGTTTGAAAATTTAGTTTAGTCCTTCTAATTATTTTTATTTGTTACATTCTGTTAATTATCTTGGTCGATCATGATATTAGGAACCACCATTGTGCTCTGTTTGCATGGTTATCAAGAGAGATGCGAACAGAGCGCAATAAAGCGAGAAAGGTTCGTTTAGAGGAATATCTTTGGAAGATTAAAAAGATAAACACAAAGAAAGGGTTTCCCTTTCTGATTTTAGAGAGGGAGAGGAGAAGGAAAAAGGAACAAAAATGGAGCAACGCCTCCAACATCAGAGTGATGAAGTGAAAGGCCATTGGGTGTGGGTATGGGGTTTGCAGGAAACAAGTTTAAGCATTGGAAAGAATACGACACGTAGGCTTGTGGCTTTTTCTGTGGCGCAGAAAAGGGTTATGGAGTTTCAGACGCTGCTTCAGCAAACTCTTGCTAATGCTGTGCAGTGATGATGATGGTGCAGGGGGCCAGAACTGAAAATTCATCATATGTCTTCTGTCTTGGCCATAAAATCAATATATTATTATTGCTTTAATTATTATCATTATGCATTATTGCTTTAATAATTATTATTTTGACTACTATTATGATGTATGATAGTTCTATTTAAAAAAACAACGAGTATTAGTGATTTATCATGCAGTAATTAACAATGGAAATACGGAATCGAACATGACACCATGTTGCAAAAACAAATAAACTAATAGAAAACAGTTTGATTTTGATACAAACAATGGTTGTAAAATATGATTATTGGGTGAGAAAAAACAGTAGCAGTAGGGAAAGCTGGCGTAATTATGCATTAATGATGGAGTCGGAAGTGGGTATGTGAAGATAATGGTGAAAAATAAAAATAAAAATAAAGATATTTAGAAAGAGGGAATGGTGCGAGAAAGAGACACGTAGATGATGGTTGTGAAGTAGGTCACACATCAGAATTGAGAAGAAGTGGTTCAAAGCAACACAAGTAACAGCAAAACTGGACAAAACAAACACAAGAGGGCCCCACCCCTCCAACAACTTTCTTGTTCCCTCTGCCCCTGCCTACCATTTTTCACGGATTTTTCTTTATTCTACATCCAACAAAAAATCATCATAAATTATAATAAATTAACCCTAATTTTAGGGTTCTATTTATTATACCCATTAAGGTCACTTCACCAAAATTGGGCTTCATCCACAGCTTACCCTCAAGTGAAGAAGATTACACCCATTATAATGCAAGTTTTGCTTTTATTCTGGTTGGTCCCTATATATGATGTCAGAAGATATTTCAAGTAATTATTGAATCATAGTTTCATGTATAAAATATACCCATCCACTTGTACAAATTATATGTACTATATAAATGAAATATGACATTTGATCTCTAATGCGGCAAGGAAATTTATCTTTTCAACTTTCTTCTCACATTCACACGTTTGCTAATTAACTATATGACATTTTTTACAATTGAATATTAGGAGTAGAGTCAAATGAGTAATGTATTTTTAATTGACATCATTATTACATGAACAAACTTATACATTTTTCATATAGAAGTTTATTTTATAAGTAATTCCACTAGTTCTATTTAATTGTGAATCATTCGATTAAAGAATATAAATTATTATAATTTGTATAATTAATATTAGGTAAGTACCTGTGCTTATTAAAAGTGTTTATTTTGTTACGTATACCTACGCAATAAATTACACCATACACATCCACCTCTGCTGTTAACATTTAAAAATTTTAGGGTTTATACTGAAAGAAGACTTGTATGGAGCAATAGCTTATTAAAAACTGGGATGATTAGTTTTTAAATAATTAATGAATGTTGCAATTATCAGTAAGTAATTTTGAGATTAATAGTTTAATGAGAAGGACGTGAATACAAAAGGTAAATATATATATATATATATATATATATATATATATTTATTTATTTATTTAATGAGTGTGACTCAATTGAGCCACAATCGGAGAGTATGGATTTAATTTCTATAACATGCATTCCAGAATAGAATAATTTTTAGTTTAATTAAGCTTTAAATTATATATTGTTTTCATGATTGGTGATTAAAATATACTTTCATTATGGTGATTATAACATAAAGTATATTAATAAAACTATATATAAATACTAAAATATAAACTAATGACGATCATTATAAAAGACAAAATCAGTAAAGAATGCATGAACAGTATGGGCACAGTAACCCAATAACGGAAACAAAATTCCTATTTATAGTGTTTAGAGATGAAAAAAGAAAATGAAAATAAAAACATTCAATAAATTTTTAAACCTCAATATAGAAATAGTTATATAATACCTTTCTAAATTGTTCATCAAATTCCGTCGTTGTAGTATAGTGGTGAGTATTTCCGCCTGTCACGCGGACGACCCGGGTTCGATCCCCGGCAACGGCGATTTATAATAATTTTTTTCCGTCTTTTATTCCAGACTAATTTATGAAATTTAAACCTTTTTTTTTTCTCAATAATTTATGAAATTAAACTTTTCTTTTCTTATATTTCTCAACAATTTATGTAATTCTAACTTTTTTATTTGCTCCAATATGATACTTATTTTGATTAGGCCTTGTGTTTATGAAGATTGAAACACATGGATTGCTACATTTCCATGTCTGAAAATGCAGCATGTCATTTTCCATTGGGAGAAGGATGAGTTGTTCAATGTGAAGTCTTATATGTTACTATCAACATTGCAGGTTTTTTACAAAGAAAAAAATGAAACTTAACGGCATTAGCACGAAAAGTTGCAGTTGGAAGGAAATAAACAATGTTTGAGACAACATAAACAATGTTTTCTGCGCAGTCAGTGGATGTAAAGATCCAGTACCCGAACACAAACTGAGTGAGTTCTATGCTTACCGAGTTGTCTGGTTTAGGTTATATTTATTTTGACTTTCTCTCTTATTTTACGTTTATCATCTAAACAAATTCTTAAAATGTTTCTCTTCCCACATATTTTGCGTTGTGGTTATGATGTGCCTTTAGTTGGTTCCCACCATTTTTTAAATTTACAAATAAAATAATAATACTTTAAAATTCTAAATACTTTGCAAATTTAAAGCTGGCAAAATATTTATAAAGCATGAGTGCATAATTAAAATCATTGTTAGAAAATTGAAAGAGCAAAAATTTAATAATCTTACCATTCATTATATACTTAATTTTAGTATATATTTTTTTTAAATGCAGTGTTCGTTTTTTAATCCTTTCGATATATTTAGTTTGGCGGTAGAAAATAAAATGGATAAAAATATAATGGGATAATGGGTTGGAATTAAAATTTAATACTTAACAAAATATCAATAATTGAAATAGCATTATATATAAAATTTATTTACAATAAATTAAAATTACATTAGAGAATTTAAAATCCTAATTATCTTAAAAGAAAGTATTAATCATCTTATCATGCCTCACTGTCTCTCTCTCCATTCTTCTTATCTCTTTGCAATGAATAAAAACAATCACAAAAATATTAGTTTTTATGCAAAATGTGCTGTTGGTGTGTTTGAGCTCATCATCCATCTTTGGATTCCGTTATGAAGTCTCTTCACTCGGTCCCACCATTGTCTATGTTTCTAAGCGATAATAATGTCGTATGAATAACATTAAAAAAATATTAAATCCAAAAACTAAAGTACTATTAAATACAATAATTCAAAATATAATTAAGTAAAAAAAAAAACAAAACAAGTTATTAACACAGTGTTGTAAAACATTTACGTAAAAAATAGCTCAGGAATATATTTTTATAAAGAACATCCAAACTAGATTCATTAATAGTGTTGTTTTTAAAATAAATATTTTGTCTTATATTTCATCAAAGATAATTGTCTTAGTAAAAAAGTATAGGAACTATTTTTTTTACATCATTTTAAAAGGCTTTTTAATTAAGCTATAATAAACTTCATTAAATGGTTTGATTTTAATTATACAAAAATTATTGCAATTATTATATTATCGAAGATTCATTATCTTGAACAAAATTATGAAAGCTAATTTTAATTGTTTAACTTCAATTATCGAAAAAAAAATTGTTGCTTCGAAATTAATATCACACAACCTTAAAATGCTAAACCTAATACACTCCAGTAACCCATAACTTGTTTTGGTATAAAAAGATTAAGTGTTACTTTTGCTTCCTTTGTGTTTTTCGTGGTTTTACATTTTGATACATTTAAAAGTTGTAATGTGGTACTTTATATATGCTAGAAGGTTTGATTTAGTCCTAGTTGAGAGAAGAAGATGACGCGTCTAATAGTTATTAACTTAGGTTATGACATTGCTAGATAAGTAAAACTTAGTTGTTTTGCTTTGAAGGGTAAGGGGAACTTGATGTGAATATCGATGTATTTTGTTTTAATTATATTTTATGTAACGAATTAAAATTGAGTAAGTGTGGTTTACCATTTTAGTTTTAGTAAATTTGGATGTGGACCATTCGTGTGAAGAAACTAGAGAACCCGGGGACCATTAACAATTGTTCCTACCATTTGCATAAACCTTACCATTCAATTTAGGAGTCACATTTATAGGAAAAAAAGAAGTTAAACTGCAACCGTTAAAATGCAACGTTCATGCTCATAAAAGAGTTACACTACTACAAAATATGCTTTCAACGTCGCCATTTAACGTCGGTTCAAGCTGAGCCGACGTTAAATACACTTTCAACGTCGGTTGGTTAAAAAACGACGTTGAAAGCTGAATGTTGGACACATTCTACGTCGGTTCTTAGTTAACCGACGTAGAAAACACTTTCCACGTCGGTTCTAGATGAACCGACGTTGAAAGTCTTTTTTTTATTTTTATTTTTACTTATTGATAGCGGTTATAAAGGAACCGCTATCTAAAGTCGACCGCTATGGGAACCGCTATCTAATGTCGACTTTAGATAGCGGTTCTATGGGAACCGCTATCTAATGTCGACTTTAGATAGCGGTTCTATGGGAACCGCTATCTAATGTCGACTTTATGATCGATCATTTCAAGTTATGATCGATCAGATATTATTTCGCTCGAGCGAGGGCAGTGTCGCTGGTCGAAATGCAACCCGAGAATGCTAATTTTGTGCGAGGGCTTTTCGCTCGAGCGAGAAGGGTGTCGCTCAAGCGAGATACACTTTAGATAAGCGGTTCTAAGGGAACCGCTATCTAATGTCGACTTTATGATCGATCATTTCAAGTTATGATCGATCAGAACCTTATTTCGCTTCGAGCGAGGTTAGTGTCGCTCAAGCGAAATACAACCCGAGAATGCTAATTTTGTGCAGGGCGTTTCGCTCGAGCGAGAATGGTGTCGCTCAAGCGAGATACATTTTAGATAGCGGTTATGACCGATCGGAACTATTTTAATCGATTAAATCTCGTTTCAATCGATTAAAACAATTTCTGCACAGCGTTTTAATCGATTAAAACTTATTTTTATCGCTTAA